TTTCGCGAACCTCTTCACCGCCTCTCCCCGTGATAGCCAACGCACGTCATGAATGCCCTGCAGCTCGAGGTTCGTCTCGCAGACAACTTCTTGAAGTTGGCGGAAACGCCTGTGGTGGTTGGAGCTCTGCGACAGCATCGTCGCCACCGCCCGAACTCCCTTGTCAACGATTTCCAAGTCCGTCAACTTGGTCGCTGCATCTTTGGCGGCGAGCGCCTCTCTACGAAAGGAAAGCATTCATGTTAGCCAGGTCGGTAGTAAGGGAGTTCATTGATGCATTAAACCTTTACATGACATCGTTGTCAGCCACCTCGTCGCCTAGACTGGGCTCCCGTGTAAAGCTGAGCTTCCGCTGACGCCATTTCTGCGGCACGGTACTGGCGCCTGGTTTGCGCTTTGTGCCACTCGACTCCTGTCCAGGCTCCGTGGGTTCTTGGGATGGGCCGACATCAGCAGGTTGTGGGGTCGTAGCATTGGAACCAGTAGTGGGTAGGGAGGGCGGATCTGCCCGCGTCTGGACAGACTCGGTAATGGGAACCGCAAAAGGCCTCAGAAAGCTGAGACCTGTTCTCGGGGGAGAGTCGGAACGAGGCTTGCCGGCTTCGTCGTCATCGTTACAAAGAACGTCAGCAGCCATGGAATGGAAAATGGGATGTGGCTAGCTAGCTATCAACTCATACGGGAGCTGCGTGGTGGTGAGATGGTGGCTGAGCTCGTAGAAAAGACTCTGTTTGGCTGCAGAGCGTTGCTGTGAGAGCTTCCTGATGGGGTGTCCAGGGAGGGTGTGTGATGGGAGTGGGAATTTGGAAGGTTCGGTGTGGAGGGGAGTGCGTGCGCACGCTGCGCTGTGCTGTGTTATGCAGAAGGTGGGACGTGAAAGGACGCGATGATGTCCTGCCACTGTGCACGGCTGCGCCGTGTCCTGGCAATCCGGGCCGTTAAGGCGACCCGCACAGTCGTGATTGTGGAAAAAAGGGTACAACCCGCCGTAACCAGCCCCAGCAATTGTACTCAATAGAATCTGGTGGCGATCTCCGCGAAGGGATTGCGAAAACTTGGCGTGACTATGTCAGGCATCATACCTACCAGATAAGCAGTTCCATTTGCTGGATTTGGGCTGGTTGGAGTGTAGCTTGTACTGTACGCGCAATTAGGTGTCAGCTTGCTGGATGTGAATCAATGAGGTTGACGAACTCGTCATTGTCACGTGGGCAAGCATTGCAGTTTGTAACTTCCTAACAGCACTCCGAAACACGAAGACTCGTTTCGGCAAGTGTCGCCGTTCCACAAGAAACTTGTCGCGAAACTGCATGCTGCTTCGCCAGCTTTCGTGTCTCAACCGTAGCCCTCGTGGGCCTGGAAGTAGTTAGACCTTCGGCCTCGATTTTGGTCACCGTCAATTTTTGTTCGGCCTCCCCTCCCGGCCTTCTAGTCCAGAGTACAGTAGTTTCTGTGTTGGCGCACTGAGTGGGGTCCAGCTGGCGCTTCCAGCTCCGAACTGGAGTCATGGCTTCCTGTCCCGTCTCACTGCCTTCCAGCTCACTGGCTTTCAGCTCAAGCTTCCAGCTCATGCCATTCTCTGACATCCAGCGCGCTCTATCATGAATTGCAGTGTGCGAAGCAGTTGACCGTTGCCAGCGCACATATATTCGAATCTCGGATGTGATACAGTCGAGTCGATTGCTACCGCATTCGGTGGAGTTCACTGTCGTACACCGAACAGTGTATTTGTGGTACAGTGTACGAGCTGCTACGCGTAACCACTAGTGGTGGAATAGTTGTGCCGCCACGACATCGAGGTTGTTGTGTGCCACCCACACGATGGCGGTTGACTGTCGTCAAGAACAGCGAGAGCTTGTCGGCAAGAGTGTCACAGCGAGAGCTCGTCGGCGCTTCGCGAATCGTAATCATGTGTCGGAGTGGGACGTGACGAACGTCCCTGGCCCAATTTCGACTCGGAGTCGACTAAGATGGCGTTCCTGAGATGGGGACGTTCGGAGTGCTGCACTATTGGTCCAGCGTGGCAGTCCTGGGTATTTTGCACACCCACCACACGTGCCATGCGATGTCAGTCTCACTGTGCGAAAAACAAGTGAGAAAACTTCCAACCAATCACATGCTTCTGTATTCAACGTCAGTGGTTCTGACGTTGGGCGTCAGGGGAAGTTGCCATGCGCAAAAATCGCACGACCCTCACCGCCCAACTCATGCGACGTCCAGATTCACTCCCCCCGTTGCTGCCATGCCTTAGGCACGTGTTCTGTGCACTGCTGCTGGGGGAAGTTCGGATGGGGCCCCATCTCAGGAACGCCATCTAAAAATTGTACCCGTTCACGGCCCGGCCCAGGGAAGGATCACCCGATGGTGGGGTGGCTCCGCGCGGCGATTGTAACAAACGCGGTAAAGAGTGTCGCCTGCACGTTAGGATACAGTACGTGCACCAGTTAAAACACTCTCGGGCACGCCCCCGTCTTACTCTCTCACGTGTCCCGCAGATGGTCAGTTTGTTCGCGAAATCTGGGTTGAATCGAATTACATCGATAAAGATCACGATGCCAGCGTTCTAAACTTTCCAGGATTTAGTAACATCTCGCAAAGAGAGTTGTTCTCCCGACCAGCTCCGCATCCTCCTTCCATTTCATGCCAGTTGTGCTGATTTTCACTGATTAATCGCGACCGCTCTCCTCACATCATCGTCCAGCGTTTCCCATTGGGTAAGTAACTTTGGAAGGGCTTACACTAGCGACCCTGCGCTCTGAGGGGGTCTACAGTGCAAGTAGAGGGCACTTTCCACCCCTCCGTGCCTCAGACAGGGAAGTTATAGAAACAGGACAGGGCAAATCCCCACATTCACCCACGTGTCAACAATTTCTATGCCACCTACTGTACTGGACATCTGACCACCTGTGCACAACAGATTTTTGTCCCCACTGCAAAATCGAATCCACAAACTGGGTGGCTCGGCTGCCACACTGTTCCGAAATCCGCTAGGCTACTGTTTCGCGCCCAGATTTTCGGAACGGCCATCAAGGCAGACGGAAACGAAAACGGAGTAGCTCTCCGTCAAATCTTTCGAGTGACTTCGTCTCAAGTTACGTGGGCTCCTTCAGAAATTAGGGTTTGCGACAAACTCTGTCTTAACTTAACGCGTAGCTTCCCGCTAGCAATCTTAAATTAGCATAGGCGCCATGCGTTGTTCCCGAATCTGTGGCTGCACCATATCGAGCAGTAGGAGCATCACATTCTCTCGGATAATGTTACATTGGCTAGCGATCCAGGATATGCGTTCTTGTTCGTTTGATATGTGCACCCTTCATATATCTTCTCTGATCCTTGCGGTCGATGGTAAGTTTGCGACTGGCATAAACTGATTGTGCCCTATGACTTTTCTTCCGCACGATTAATCGCCAATGTTACAGACTCCATGCATTGGTCTGTACATAATGCTAAGCATTAGTCACCACACACGGGTCTTTCATCCACATTTTTGGAGTGCTGATTTTGAATATAATCCACCATTTTCATGTCGATCCTTCACGTGTTTCAATTTTGTTTTCTCCAGACTTTCGTCACTCGCAAACTATTGTGTAGACAGGGACCATGTGTGCACAATGTTCAGGAGTTCTCTTTCAAGGTGATCACACTGATTCACACATGCGATGGATAGGATATGTCTACACGTTCCCGTATTGCTGCACGTCCCTTGTTTGGGTTGCAACAAACTACTCACATATGATTCCATTACCTTTGCGGTCATGTGTTTTTTAAACAGGGCATTTCTTGGACAACAGACGGAGGAGATCAATATTTACCAAGGGAAAATTTATTCATCCGTAAGCGCTGCCAGAGATGAGATAGAGAAATATGGCGATAAGTTCAATTTCAAGCCCTGGTATAGGGACAACAGGCCAGAACGCCTTGACGTGTGTTGCCCTTCCATGAAAGGAAAAGACTGGCCCAAGAATGAGGCCAAAGCACCAGAGGGGTTTTGTCCCTTTCGGATTGTAGCTACCGGGCCTCGAAATCGCAGCTTTAGTGTGAGATCAGTGACGCTGCAGCATGCACACACGTGTGTGCCACGCCCTGGTCGGATTAGGAGGGAACAGGTTAATCAAGTGGTGCGTGAAGTACGTGCTCATACAGTCATTAGACCTGTTGGACTACGAGAGATGGTGCGGGAAAAGTTAGGCGTTGACTGCTGCAATGCTACGTGTGGCCGATCAATAGATGATGTCACTCGAGAGGATCCTCTAGGTGGAGAGTCGGGTTTCCAGTACATTGGTAGCATCCTTGATGTTTTCAAGAGACATAACCCATCGAGCGTTGTGTCATTGTTGCTGAACGAGAATAGGTTCCATCGTGCTGCAGTGATTTACCCAGGAGTCCGTGAGGTAGTAAAAAATTGCTTTCCGATCGTATTTGTAGATGGATGTCACAACAAAGGTGTATGGCGAGGCCATACTCTGAATGCATGCATGATTGTCTGCGAACATAAGCTGGTGAGGTTAGGGAGTGCATGGGTAGAAGGTGAGAGTGCGGATTCGTGTGAGTATTTTTTGAGCCAGCTGAAGGTAGCTGCCCCTGAGATCAACACTCCAAGGTTTACACTGATGCATGATCGCGGGAAAGCATGGAAAGCGGCTGCTGCCAGAGTGCTGCGAGGGGCGCGTGAGGCATTTTGCATCACACACTTGGTGAGGAATTTTAACTCAAAGTTTGGTTCAGACTGTGATGGCAAGATCGAGCTCGCGGCTGCAGCATTGACCAGAGATGTGCTGCGGGGCTACATGGACAAAATCGAGGAAGAGTGCCCTGGGGGGAAAGAATACTTGGAGAGGGATGGATTAGCCGCACATTGGGCTACCTTTCTGTTTGGTGCGTCACGTTTTGGGTGCTATACCTCAAACCCAGTGGAGTCGCATCATGCCTCTATGCACAAGTGGAGGAGGGACAATCCAGCACAAGTTTTGCTTGCATTCATAACACAGCAAGCGAATGCAATGGAAGAGGGTCGTAAGCTGTATGGGAATCTCGGGGTAGCTGATCTCCCCCCCATAACAGCAGGCATCCTTCGTGCTAATTGTCAAATGGGCACTCAGTACAAAGTGGAGAAGACTGGCAGAAGTTCATACCATGTGAGCCGTGACACTGGAGCCAAGGAGGAGCGTGTGGTGGTATTGGAGGTTGCAAAGCCAGAGGAGGCGCAGTGCACGTGTAATTACCAGAGGTGAGTTATGTGTTTGAGCTAAACCTTGAAACACAATAGGGAAACATTCTGCAGCTGGTGTTAGGGTTGTCGGAACATGCATACATTTTATTCTCCCTCAGGCAATCTCTTGATGTTCGTCATTTGATGGATCCTAACGTTCGTTTGACACCCATTTGATTTTCCCGTACACATGCAGAGAGTATGGGCTGCCATGCATGCACATGTATGCGGTACTGCTCCACATCATCAAGCCGGCACGTGGCAACGAGTATGCGGATGTCCAACCTGTGGTTCAAGCCATGATCCACAGGTGTTACACTTCAAACGCTTTGAAGGAGCTCTACAGCACGGAGATTCGCACTCTTGACCGCACTGAGCTCGTGCCAGATCAGACAACTGAGGCACCAATATACCCAAAAAAGTCGGGGAGGCCACGCAACAACCGGTTGAGGTCCCACGGTGAGATTGATGGGAGGAAGCTGCGTAGATGTGGGAAGTGTGGGGAGAAAGGGCACAATCGAAAGACTTGTGATTTGCGCAAACAAAGGAGAGACGTGTGGGAGGCACTTCACACTCCGGAAGGGCACATGAGTGTGCAAACAGCTACGCAAGCAGAGGCTGAGGTGAATGTGGTGCTGTGTGGTGCATGCAATGTAAGGCACCACAGGGATGTACTGTGCGAGCCTAGGAGGCAACCTCGTGAACATGAGCAACCACAAACTGGGGTGGGGGTGGTGGACGGTAGCGCGACTCACGCGGGGGATGGTGGTGAGAATGAAGGTGTTGAGGTATCGGACGAGGAGGAGGACGGGAGTTCGGAGTCGGAGGGGGAGGGAGAAGAGCAGCCGGTAGATGCGGGTGCTGGTGTCCAACAGGCTGTCCCAACAGTACTCCGTGAAGTTTTTGGCGAGGCATTTAACGGGCTCAACACCTCAGGAACCAACAGAAACTTGCGCCCGGGGGGTGTGGGGTTATCAAATCCAACAGCGGCTGAGAGTGGGGGATGCGGGGAGAGCGGAAGAGTATCCGAGAGTGGAGGATTGGGGGAGTGGGAAGGAGGATACGCGAGCGGGGCAGAGAGGGGAGGAGCATCAGCGGGTGGGGAATGGAGGAGAGGAGCAGCCGAGAGTGGGGCGGGGAGGGCAGGAGCAGAGAGTGGGGCGGGGAGGGCAGGAGCAGAGAGTGGGGCATGGAGGGCAGGAGCAGAGAGTGGGGCATGGAGGGCAGGAGCAGAGAGTGGGGCATGGAGGGCAGGAGCAGCCGAGATCGGGACAGGGAGGGGAGCAGCCGAGATCGGGACAGGGAGGGGAGCAGCCGAGATCGGGACAGGGGGAGGAGCAGCCGGGAGCGGGGCAGGGAGGGGAGGAGCAGCAGGGAGCGGGGCAGGGAGGGGAGGAGTACCAGGGAGCGGGGGGGGAAGGGGAGGAGTAGCAGGGAGCGGGGGGGGAAGGGGAGGAGTAGCAGGGAGCGGGGCAGGGAGGGGAGGAGTAGCAGGGAGCGGGGCAGGGAGGGAAGGAGCAGCAGGGAGCGGGGCAGGGAGGGGAGGAGTACCAGGGAGCGGGGGGGAGAGGGAAGTAGCAGTGAGCGGGGCGAGGAGGGCAGGAGCAACAGGGAGCAGGGCGGGGAGGGGAGGAGCATCAGGGAGTGGGGCAGGGAGGGGAGTCGAGAGTGCGGCAGGGAGGGGAGCTGCAGGGAGCGGGTCGGGGAGGGAAGGTGCTGTAGGGAGCGGTGGAGTGGCGGGTGAGATGGAAATTGACCACAACGATCCCACCCCTGGTGATGCCTCGCATAACAATGGTGACAATGTGGTTCGTTTTAGACTGA